GGACTTCCACAACCAGCGGGTCGCTGGCAGAAGTCAATATACACGTACCGGCCGTCCAACTCGAAATTAGCCGTGATTTTTCAGTTCCAGACCATGAAAGGAAAGCCGTCAGACGTTTGTTTCTGTCAGCACGGACGCCACCGGGAAGGCAGCGGTGCCGGCATGTAACTGCATGCAAGCAATTCTGGGCACACGACGTCCCGCTTCAAACCACCTGGAGGGCGACCAGGTCTGACGGCAAAACTTACGACTAGATCGCAAAACGAGTCGTAAAAGCGACGAACGCCTGGCTTTATTTATGCCGACTCTGGCCGCTCGGGTTGAAAGGGTTACACCGCGTGTTGGTGGCTGCACGGACAACGCTGGCTACCCAGCGACTAATCTTCAACTGTGTATATTTTTGCACTGGCTGCCCAATCAAAACTACACAGAGCTGGAAAACGGCTGTCTGGCAGGAAAATGCTTTGCCGGAGAAGGACAAAAATGCTCATAAAATTAGGGTATAAGAATACGATTGTATCTTCCGGACCGCTATAGTATGTGTAAGCCAGCCATTCACTTGCTGTGCTATTTAGCCGTTTTCGCTAAGGTGTTTAACTTTTACCATGAGGTATCGACACGAGCGCGAGTGCCAACCTGCAAGAAACTACTGTAGCCAATAGCGCGACAACGGGACAACGTTTCGAGCGCGACAGGACAGAGAATGTAATATGTAGTGTACATCAAAAGTACTGAACATTCCAACAATAACAAACTACCTCATCAAACTTATGTTTCTGTCACACAACAACACTTGTCGGAACTACAACAGTATTTAAACGCATTTTGCGTAAACGTTGTGAGCGTATGATGCAGTCGATCGTGCAATATGCTGAGGGACTTGAAATACACAATTAATGCAAGAAATCAATTACAAATCTATTACTTAACACGTACTAATGAGAACAATCTCAACTAACAGTCTAAACTTGAGAAATTGATAGGAGGTATGCACTTGTTGCCTGAGTGTTTTTTACTTTTTACTCTTTCTTTCTTCTCGAGCCGCGATGACCAAGCGAATCGGTTCCGACATGCACCTTCACCTCACAGCCATGCTTGGCCATGGTGGTGCCTCAAGCAAGCCTCACACCCTGCCAAGGGCAACCGAGGCTGACGGGCAAGCTCGCCCGCGCCAAGAGCCGGTTCGAAAGGGATGAACGCACGTTGAGACTCCGTGTATAATCCGGGTGTGTTTGTTACGGACACAGACAAGTTGGCGCACAAGTGCGCGGGAGGACCTGTCCGAGTGCAAACAGACAAGCCTTGAGAATCCAAGTGCGGGAAAGAGAAACGTCCTAAGGGAGCCATATGCTATATACAATGTATATATATTCGGTCTGAAGTTGTTTAGTCAGAGTTTTCTACCACAAACCCACAAACTGGTGGAGAAAAATCCAGATATTTTCGAGTACTTTAGACTGCCCGACCACCAGCCCCGTGAAAGCAAAAGAATGCGGTAAGTTAATGAATAGTACAATTTTCATGTCAAAAGGTCTTCAATTTTTCTAGAATGTTCAACATCACTCAAATCCTAGTCGTGAAGGCGCCGAACAAACTCCTATATTTGTAGCGAGGTAGACACCAAGGACGTCCCGCGGCAAACTTAACGGCGCTTCGTCATCCGCATCCCGGCTTATCTGGTTAATACTACCCTGATTGTCCCCGCCAAAATAAACACAGAATATTCAGATAGCGAGTTAGGGATCGATTATACTGTAAGCTGCTTAGCCACTTCGGAAGGAATTAAGGCTACTCTGGGCGAAGACTTGCTATTGTTGCTTGGGGTTAGAACGGGAAATCGAAGTTTAGGTTAATCGGCTCTTTCCCTCATCCTTCCTATGTGGATTCAATTATGTCTGAAAAGTTGGAATAAGTTTGTTGTTGAAAACATGCGCACCACACGAAAACTACTTTTCTAGCTTGAAAGAAACTATTTTTCTGCAAGTTATACTTCTATCACGAATGCTGTCTTGGTGCTGGTGACTAGCGGTACTCTACCTTGTTTTGTTTCAGGTTCCGCAACACCGAGAAGTAAACGTCCGCCCGAGGCAGTGGATATACGATTTTTCAAAGTTCAAAACATTTTTTTTCAAAACAATATCTGATGGCGCATACAAGAACCTTATTTAAATCACTCCACTTTTTGCGTGTATTACGAATTAATCTCTGCTCATTTTTACTAGCCCTGCTGCAATGATATTTTGCAAAAAATCAATCCGATAGGACAGAGCCCTGTTGAATACTGTGATACAAAGAGTGAATGTGATAGAAACATTGCTAAAAACGTTGCCTAACTGTACAAATTAGTCGTCCTTTTTTCCAATAACAAGAACTGAGTCCTAGACGTGTGGTGTTGTCCTGAGGATTTTTGTGTCCCTGGCTGGTTGACACAGCCCACCGCTAGAGTTGAAATAAATGTTCATTGAGTCCCAGCCAGCCGGCACGGATGATATTGGCAACCACTCCCCATGAATACTAAAGCCGATCCTTCTCTTTATAGTATCTCACTCCGTCGAGAAAGTAAAGTTTTCTCTGAAAGAGAACTTGACCCAACCACAAATGTTAGAGACTGGGACGTTTTCTACTATACGTACATGGATGGTGACAAGGAATGTTCCAATAGAAAATCTCACTCAAGTTATCGAAGTCGGTACGAGTCCACAGCTTTGGCTAAACAACAACTCCTTAACTACTAGTTATCCCACACATTTGTACCAATAATCTGGTACTATGATGAGAAAGTCATCATCACAGCAAAGGTTTTAATTTCTTACCCTGACAAATATTTCGAGGCTAACGCGTAACGATGATTGAGTTTTGAGATGTCATGCTGGTATTGTGTGGCGACCAAGTGGGTGGGTTCAGTCAGCGGAGATGTGAGTCATAAAAAGGTTCTGATACAAGACTCTATAAACAGATTTCTTCCCCCACGCCGATCGCATTTCCAGATTGTCAGTTTAACAATACAAGCGTTTTTCTATACGATTTGGGTGCATAAATCGCACATACTGCAACAAGGTCCAGACAAAGGTTTGTGCAGCAAAGTTGAGTCACTGACGCACTGATAACTTTCAACAATGGCAAGTCATTAAACCACAGTCAAAATATTTTACGGACTGTGTTGCAAAAGGATTTTGACGAGTACATCAATTAAGTCCATCATGCAAGAAATATTACACGTCCACATTCCTAATTAGGTAGCTTTTCTTCCGAACCACTCTTTTTGCAGAACATAACATACTATCGCACCCTAACATGGGCTGTTGTATGGGACATCTATAATGTTGATATAGTACGGATAGAATCACTTTCAACATAGACAATTTTAAATTGCCCTAATCTGAGGAAATGATAGGATGATATCACGTTGTATTATGATATATCGCAGAACGGTATTACTGGCCATAAATGATACTACCGGCCGACGATCTCATAGATCAAGCAGTATTGAAAACATTGCATGCGCTGGTGATCCATTTGGGCCTATCTGCCATTGTGGCCCAACATTTCAACACACCGGTTCAACTTGAGTAAGCCTGTATCTAAATATATATAGCATGTTCTGGACGGCGAAATGAAATTTACAAAACGTTTTGAGATAGAATGATAATCGTTTAGATATCTGCACCTCGAGTATTGCCTTATTTTTAAGTAGATTCATTCTCTTTCAGTCACATCAACGATTGAGGCCAAAAGTTACACAATATTCTTTCTACTATTAGAAAATAGAGCGCACAGTCAGCAACAAAATATGGTCTGCAGTCTGCACTAAGATAGTCAAGCTTTGTCAGTAACCCATATACTCTCCTACAGACGGGCGTGTTCTGTTTTGAACTGTTGTCATCACTATTTGACGTATAACCCAATTTGACAGGAAGAAATCACAAATATCCGAGTTGTGCATTGTTCAGATTCATGTGCGGATTTGGATGCTAAGTTCACTCGCCCTGCTGGCTTCCTGACAAGGAGATATTCTGACGCAGAAAGACGATCATAAGACTCGGAATACAACCTGGTAGATGACGAGTGAAGCTCTCCTTGAAGGTATAGTTTTTACATGGTCACTTCGTAGCTACAACAACTGTGGAGATTCTGAAAACAAATTGTGTAGTTTTGACGTTTTGATTCCCAACGTCTATTGTTGAAGATGGATGGTAAGAATTGGCGACTGAAATTCTATTCAAGTTGGACAAGAATGACTTTTTCAACGAATTTTGACCTTTGTCAACCGTCTATGGAAGTCCCTAATCAACAACTACGGCTCTCCGGTTTTCGTTCACCACAAACGTAACCTAATTAAGATGTATGTAAGGGGCCTGAAAAAGGACATTGTTACGTGCATTAGGGTCCACTTATGATGTGGTGAATGAAACCTTAAACATACAGGACATTGCAGGGTGAAGTGTGTTTTGGCAGTTTTGCCAGTCTGTCCTTATTCTATATGAAACTAAAAGACAAGAAACAAACACCTGTAGCGAGATAGCGATGTGTACCCACAGAAGTCAGAGCTAGAGGGATAAACATTTGCAGCCAACATGCTAACGTACGCAAGAATTGCTCAATTGACCGCACCGCCACAAATTGCCCTGGATTTGATAAGATAATTTTGTAGGCCCATTCCCGCATGTTTTGCCTTGTGTACAGTGCATCGTGCGCAGCGTGCTGGTTCGAGAACATCTTAACGTTTCGTTCTACATTCTGTACTTTTGTGTTGCAAGTTGTCTCGGTGCTGCTACATGCGCCGGCTACCGTGGGTGGTTCTCTGTTCTGAGTCACCACGGTGGGATACGCTTGAACATGGTTTTCGCTCCTCGCGGCTTGTGGTTGTATGCAAGGCTCGACTAAGCCTGTCTATGTAAGCTAGCTGTAGGTTGTATTACAGGATTTCAGAATGATATTCATATCTTCAAAATTATTTTGAGCCAAGACTTTCCACAGAAAATATCAATGTTGAACCTTACCTGCTTGTTCGTTAGCGTTGATGGGCACGCCTGGTCTTGGGAAGCCCAGAATGTCACTGACAGTGTGTGGGGATGGCCAGTGCCGCATGTGCATGGGGAGCTGGCTCTGGTTGGGCACCCCGGGGGCCCCGGGAGCCGGGGCGGGCGGACCCACCGGGTAGGTGTAGATGGGGTTGTAGAGTGGCCTGTGCTGCTCGGGTTTGACGGGGTGACCGTAGGGCGAGTCGGGCAGCTGCGTGGTGTTGCCGATCTTGTTGCGCAGGATCCGCGAGATGGACGAGACCGAGGGCACGTTGTACTTGTCACACACGCCCTCGGCCAGTAACCTGTCCCGGATCTCCCAAGCGAAGATGCCAGGGTCCAAGGTTTTGTACTTCTTGATGGCCTTCACCACTTCAGGTGTGGTGACGCGAGGTTTACTGCCGCCGATGGCGCCAGGTAAGATGGATCCCGTCTCGTTGTATCGGGCCAGGATCTTGGAGACGCAGCCGTGGGAGACCCTGAGCTGGCGGCTGATGTCGCACGGCCTGATCCCGAGTTGGGCCAGTTCGACGATCCGCAGGCGGATGGCGTTGGGTAGCGGTCTGCCGTTCACAAACACTCCGCCGAGCTGGTTCACCTCCCCAAATGTTTGCTCTGGTGAAGAAACGACGAACACATCGGCCATTATTTTCAGATTATCAACACCTTTTTTCTCAAGCAGGTAGCGCACTACAGATCTCTATCTAAATCTATGATCCTACCACCCCTGGCTGGGGGATAGAAAAGTTAGACCCGCTGGAGCAGGTGGCGGTAGCTAACGGTCTGGGCTGGGTAACGGCTCTAATCGCCATTCCTTCAAACTCGGGAAATAGTGAGTTGACCAGGCCGGACCGGAAGACTATTGGCAGGCGCTCGTATTTAGGACAGTCCGTGGTTTTGCTGTTATCCCAGGGTGGGGGCTAGCCAAATTTGTACAATTACTCTACGGATTAGGGACAAATAGGTAGACATCTCTCCTTCCTAAGCTGACAGAAGCCCGCATGACTTGAGTGACAAAGAAACTGCCACACAAAATCCAGGGAAGACATAAGAGTGTTGGTGTACTGTACGTGCAGAACCAGCTACACTTCATAACACAGCGACCTGCGTACGGACGACTTCAACACTCAGGGGAGTGTAACTGGGTATATATCTGATACTCGTGCATGAGACGTGTGGGGGAAATATGTCGGGTTAAGTATGGCGATTAGATTAATTACCACAGAGAGCAGAGATCGTCGTTGATTCATATCTGTGTAGAGGCGGCGTGTGAAGGGCCGGGGTCCATGTGGCCGTGTTGTTTGTACACAACATGGTAGCAGACCTCCCTGATCTACACAGGGCTGGGACCAAAATACGGCGTAGGACAGTTTTATTTTGCTTCAGCCCAACAACTGCTGCCAGAAATGCGCTTTAGGAGACAGGGGCAATTTGGCTATATTTAACTTTAAATGATGTTAGTTGAGAACCAATTCCGCTGCCATCATAATAGCTGGGATCATGGCCCCTGGGATCAACCATGCTGTAGCTTATACGAGTTTGTACATCGTTATGATTTTATCTACATGTAAAAAGATATCTTTGTAACAACAAGGAATGGTGCTAAGTTTTCTACGATTCCACCCCGACCCTAATTCTGGCCGAAAGTCCCGAGGTCTGCCACATATGGAAGCAATAAGTTCATTCGTTTAATTCCGGCATGCTTGTGTCTTGTACACACAAACTGACGAGACCTACACCCGCGTTCTACCACGTTTTCCCCCGCCTTCTCTCCTTCGTCTGACATGTATTTCTCAATGCCATACCAACGACTTGCATAGCATCATATTCTATAGAGATTCCCAAAACTCACTTGTTCATGTTCAACAACTTCTGTCAATGAACCGTGTAAATGGATTTGGAGCTTACCCATATTCATCATGACTTGAGTGTAGCGTGTTGCCTCCAGTACTTGGATCCCTTCCGTAGTAACTACCGGTCACTGCACACTGTGTATAGAGTGGTCGCACTTCGCTATGGTGTGTGGCCGACTGGGTCGTCCTCCTGTACTGACGAAGTTTGTATGTTATGCCACGCGGGACTACACCGTGCACCGGTCCTGCTTCCGTGCACCGCGGGCACTGAATGTAAGGCGAGAGGACTCCCCCCGACTCATATTCAAATCCCTACAGGCTCGTCTCTATGGCATGCACGTCAAAGAAAAGCGGGCTGACAGGCCCCTTTCGACGCCGCTGACGGGGACGTAAGGAAAGGGGCGGGTCCAACATGGATTAATCGGCCGTCCCCACCCCTGATTGGCCGTGTGAGGAGTGGGTGTCAATCTGCCACGCGAGAAAAGACCTCCCGGGGGATTTTCCACCAAAGGCCTTACAAACGGACACCGACGTCAGCCGGAGACGATAAATGATCATAAGTTTATAATCTGGGCTCAGTGGAGGACTGCTAATCGCACACTTCCGACTCGCCCTCTTCACGTTATTGTGCGATTTTATTTCCCGCATCACCCAGAGTCCATATAATTTACAAACTCCGTTCCACGATCCACTGACCCAAATACCACATTTTATGTTCCCTTCATCAAGCAGACGCGTTTATTTTCGTGTGTCTGAGAGAAAGTGATATGTTGTAATGATACTAACTACAAAGCCATAAAACATTAGACGACACATTTTGTGTTATTTTTCCTCCTAGAAAACTTCACTTTTTTCACACATGCGATAGTTGTTGGAGGGGGAGGGTGTTATATATTCACCCGAAAGTAAACAACTTGTAGCCGTAAGATAAACTTCACACCCCGTTGAAAATTATATAGACAAGCAACTGCAAGTTGCTCCCTGTCTTTGGTGAGTAGGCGTCAATGGCTTTTTGATACGGTGTGTGAGGGGAGTGCGGACTGGGCGCGTACGGCTGCCGGGTTGAAGTATCGGCGCGGAGCTCGGACGTCAGTCAATGGGAGAGTCGTAGTGGGCTGAAACCCGATCCGCCAGCGACTCTTAATAGAGACCTGGCAGTGTTTGGTAGCTAACAATCCCCGCGTTTGTTTCTGGCGATCAGTTGGCAGTGCCATGACGCCTCCTATTTGGATATGACACAGATAAAATTACGACCCAAAACAATGTGGATGTCATGGAGGGCCCGTCCCCGCAACCCTAGTCAATGTAGAGAGCACCATGCATGAGTGGGGGGCAACTATGCGCTTGATTTGGTGGTGAGGAATTCGTGAGATACACCAACCCCTCCCTCTCAGATTTATACGTTTATAATTTTGAGTACATTTATTCTCGCTTTTTATGTCTAACCAGCAACAACAAAGTTCTATGTATAATGACCAGTCATTATGACGACTTACATGTCTGTCGCGACGTGCCCGATTATACACGATACGGGCAAAATTAACAAAATCCTTCCTAGAGCACCCCGCCAAAAGGGTCACTTCCGAAATAGAACAGGTAGTCTTGACTGCTTGCAACCCCTTTTCCTGAGTTGACGTGGAGCATTGTGATTGTGTTTGGCTTGCCATTTATAGGGAAAAATCTTTTCCCCCGAATAACTAGTCTCCATTTCCTCTGTATTTTAGGGATAGGGTTTCAGTGACAAAGAATGGTGCATTAGAGTCAAAGAAAATTGTTTACTCGTATCTGTATGGGGGACTGAAATAAATACGAGCTCACACAACCCGTGTTTGAGCACTTGGAGCGGCTTTGTCCGCTTAATTGTCATATCCAGCCAGGCCTTTCACAGAGACGTCAATCATTGCGGGTTGAGTTAATACCCACATCACAAACACAGAAATTAGCCATTGAGCGCGCGGTTGAGTGACAGGCGGGGAATTCAGGTGGGAGTGCTCCGTCAGCGTGGGGGAAAATGTGTTGTCGGTACAACCCACCACAACATTGCTTACAACAACTAGTGCTGTCTGTACATCCAGCGGCAACAATTACAGGGTTACCTTACACGGCCACCCAGGGTGCCCGGGGCCGCCTGACGCGTGCGCGCCCAGACCCCGAGGCTTCACCTGAGTTGTGGTCGGTCCGTTCTCACCTGGTGGGAAGAGGGCGGGGACCGGGGCGGGCAAGTTACCGCCAGGAGAAAATCACCTTCGCCTCAAATCCCCAACGTAACACGAACAGGTTAACCGGAGATAAACTTTGTTCGGCTTGACTGTCAACGCACATTGGCGAGCCGGGCCGATCGTCACACAGTAGTGACTCCATTGAGCCGCCTTTCTTACCGAACGGGGTAGGGGAATATCATTGTGCCCCTGCCCGTACACACACACCTTGTACCGACATAATAACACATGACAAGCGCGCAAACTGTAGCAACACGCAGCTCGGAGAAACATGCTTTCCGAGACACGCATGGCTGCGGGACCAACAAACATGTCCCGCGCCTCTTGGCCACGGAGAGCCCGCTGGTGTCCATCCCCGACCCAAATGTTGTTGTAACGGTCGCGGAAAGAGAATACTTCAGCAGGTATCTACTTGCAGAACTTGTGCCTTTCTTGGGTGGGTAAGCCGTGTGTGTTGGTGCCGGTAGCTTAGTGTAGCGGGACCGTTACTTGAAGTTAATAGTCTGTGTAGTTTAATATACAGCTTCGTCGGGTGCGACTTTTTGTACCGTTATGTTTGAGAAGCGTACCGTTATGCTTGTCATTGAGGTGCGCATACCTCAACACACCTGTTCGGCAGGTGGGAGCCAAAATAGACAACCCTTCTGACCCGAGACGTCGTTACCTGTTCCCGCGCACTGAACCCGTCTGTCGTCGCCTCAGGATTAAAGCGGGATGTCCCGCCAAAGACTCTGGGAACACAAGCGGCCGGCCTGTGTTTTCAGGAGTTGGCGGATGCCCCTACCTGTCAACCTTCAGTCCCACGCCCAAATATGCGGCTGTTTGTTCAGGAGATGTACTTTAACATCCGAGCTCCCCCCTCCCCATCGGAAGTTAGTCGAAATGGACGTGTTTAAAGAATGTGGTTGTTTGTAAATGTCTGAAGCGACCGTGATAAAAGGTGGAAGTGCCCCCATTTTGTTGTGTATTACTCTGACTGACACGTCTCCGTTCTTCTCTACCCCCTGCCCGTGAAAGTCTGTCATATGGACTGAAAGCAGAGAGAAGACAAACTCCCAGCCTGTCGCCTCCGCAAACCGACTTTTGAATCGGCGCGGAGACTTTTGGCAGGCGTGATTGAAGACCAGTAGCACTCAGTTTGTTGACCTGGCCATGGCTGGTAAAGCGCGGGCAAACGTTCTGCTTCATTTCTCCTCTGTGGTCCATTTTAGATGCCAAGCAACGCAATAACTTTGTCACGCAAACCTGTTCCCATGCCCCCCCCCAAAAAAAAATTCATCCGAACTCATCAACCACATTTGGAATATAGTCAATTAGATATCTGGAGGTCTGTATGTGATTTTCGACGAGTGCTAAGATGTGCAAATTCTGCTCGTTCTGCGCACATGTTAAAAAAATCCTAGTAATAAAAAAGAGTATCTACATTCGCACAATCTTTAAGTTTAAAGCAAAGTAAATGATATAACAAAGGAATGATATTCTCCCGAGCCCTTTTAGTGCTGAATTTGTTTTGATTTTTTTAATGTTTTACTGTGTTCGACAGGTGGGAACGAATATGCACTACTTTCAACGAACTTTAACCTCCACATAGAGGTTACAAACTATATCAATCACACCTTTGCTCAAAAATAATCAACATGAATGAGAAAGTACGTTTAAAGACTTACTGTCGCCTGTTTTTATTTCATTTCGGGGATGCATTTAGATTAGTAAGTAAGTATTCAGGTATTTCAAGTGACTTTCGGCTACACAGGATTTCTCTGAGTTCAGTGAGATGGTACCGTGTTTAGTGACTCATCAAGACAATGACCCAGTTCATACTTCGAAATCTATTCTAATCCATTGTTCAGCACCGTCCACTCCATCCGATTTTACAAACACTGCGTTTCCCATGCTTTCCCATGCACTCTAGTTTATCATGAATTAATCATAATCTTAGAAGGTTGTCTAACAAAATATTCTATGCTTTGATTCTTGAACAGTTAGTTGACGTTAGAAATCCACGTTTGTCTCCTCTATCTGCCCATTCATTGTAATATACTAGTAAGCAAGACGAGATGTGCTATGAAAACAACTTTAAATTTCGTAGAATTGTATTTTCGTCTTACCACGTATACCAGGAAACATTTGACGGAAACATGCTTGACATTTGCCACTGTGAACTCTGTAGTCATTAAGTACCACTCATGTTCAATCAGTAGCATAAACATTACACAATCACTCGTTTAGACAGGGTATGAAACGAATAAATCACTGCCAAAATCTTAGCATTCTTTCGAAGAATTCTTTTTTGTTAGAGCAAGGAAACCTAATGTGTCGATACAGTTGTTGGCGGTTACTGCGATACACACATGCTGAACTATGTACAATAGTAAAATGTTAAACAAACGGAAAACGTCAATAGTGAGCACTACTATCCATTATTTTTGCTAGTCATGCACAATCACGAAACAGACATGACCAACATCATGCTCTGTATTTTCTTTGGAGAATATGTTTTCGTTGGCAGAGGAAGCGACGTTGTATACTTTTTGCCCGGTTCCAATATGCAACGGTATTATACTTTTTGGTCATGCATTGACAGTTTTGACCACAAGACGACTAGAATCATTTGCTTCCAACAAAAATGCTTTTTCATCAAGGGAAAGTATACATCTACAGAACTTAAGCTTCCTTTCTGTTGTCTTGTTCATCTTGTTAAGTAGTTGACATGCAGTTAAAATATCATCTGTAGTGACTTGACTCAGAAAGAAGTTTCGGAACGTACTGTTACATGGTTTCTCGGCTTGGTCCTCTCTTGTTCACAATCACGGAGGAAATGTAGTACTATCCACAAACTTGGCCATGGTTAATGAGTGAAAGGACTGGCAGATAAACTATGACATGGCAGAGTATATAGAGAGTAGTTAACCATGCATGTGCATGGCACGGAAGTGATGACAGTGCTTTACTCTGCTCTACCACCACTGGATTTGCACGCGGTATCGGTTCGACATGGACATGCTGGAAATTGCATGACCATGTGTTTTCCTGCGTGTCCAGAACAACACTGGCCAGGTCTGTCTGTGTGGCTATCTCTAAAGAACTGGTTCAGGATGATGTGGACATGTTTCCACAGACTGGTTGGAATGACCAGGATGTTTGCAAATAATAACAAGGAAGCAATAAAATAGCCGAGTTTTATTGGAAATAAAATAAACTGCTACTTTTTCTAGGTATAGTGTACAAATGAGAAACGGATATAAATACTTCTGTGCTCATTCAGGTACCAAGTACAAATGTCTACAGATAAACGAACACAACTCAGCCTGTAATCGGGAATGTGTCCATGCTCTGAGATTTAATGTTTGAAACATTTTATCAAACAATGAGACCGGGTTATAAGTGAATTTGTCTGAAACACTTGTTGCATTAAGGTTGCATTACTAATATGTTGGCACTATAGAATCACATGGACTGCAACTCTCAGTAAACCTTATTGCAAGCGACTCATCATCATCATCATCGGTCGGCTGCAACGCAGGCGATCACAAGTCCATTCCACGACCGCCGGTCAGCAGCCAGCGCAGCAATGTTGTCAGGGCTCAGGTGACCTTCCGTGTCCCCCAGCATGTTCTGGATGTAAGTCAGGTAGCTCATCCTCTGGCGCCCAGGACGCCTTCTGCCGTGAGGTGGGACGTAGAGGGCGTAAGACCTGAGTGGCTCCTCTACTGGCATCCTCAGGGCATGTCCAATAAAGCGCAGTTGCCGCTGCCTCACTCTGAAGATCAGAGGTTGTGTGTTTGTGGCTTTGTATAGTTCACGGTTGCTTACGTGGTCTATACGTTTGATGTTCAGCATGATTCTGAGGCAAGATGTAGCAAATGAGTTAATCTTGTCCTCCATGTCACGTGTTAGCACCCAGGTTTCGCAACCGTACAAGAACACCGACACA